TTTTCTGCGTGTGCAGCCATTGTATGGGTTCATCTTAAAAATAAAGGCAATACTTGTTGGCAGAAATAGGACAATTGCCATTATTCTTCAATGGTCACATGAAGAATAAACTAGTGAGGGTTAGTAGTACTGTGCTGTTCATAGAACTGGTCTTTCTCTGACAGGGAAAACTATATCTTCTTCTAGTGAATGTCTTGCCTCTTTTTAGTCCAGGTTCTTTATGAAGCCATTAGAGTTTATAAATACACGTGCAAGACATGCATCTTGTAAAAGCCACAAATACAGCTCCAACACACCAGCTTAGGAATTTACCTGCTAAATAACGCGAGGTCATGAAGTGCGCATGTGAAGTTGCACTTGATTTTAACTTGGGCAACTGCTCACGCAGTGTTTACTGAGGGCCAAGCTTGGAATATTGGGTATTTTTCACTGAGTCCCACCACATCTCCATGAAGTAAAGCACTGTTGTTTTCCACACACAAGAAATCTGAAATTTAGAGAACTTGTATTATCTTGGCTTAGATCTCATCTCTAGAGAAAACGAGAACACATAGAGTCAGCTTGCCATAGTCATCGAACTAAACCATGATGGCCTCAGGACTTGACCCCTGGTCTCCAAGACCACAGAGCCTGTTGCTGCCAATAGCCCCTTCGTCCTGAGCACTGTGTGCCAGTAAGCAATGTCTTCTGTGTGCTGGAGTTCACTTCTTGCTCATATTCTCTCCTGAGCCACCCGCAGCTTGACTATTAATTAATTTTAATTATGAAAACATTAAATATTTTCATAAATATATGAAAAGTGTATTTAATATTATTTAAAATTAATATTCAATATATGAAAAGTATATTTTAAATTTGGACGTGTCCCGTTTTGGACTATTCTTGATGTTCCCCGTCAGAAGGACCTGAAAGTGGCCTGAGCCTGCAGTGGAGTGGGTTTAATCCCCACCACTAAGCAACACTGATCACACCCATGCCCAGTTCACAGAACTTCTTTATCCATGTTTCAAAGAACTTTTGTTAAGTACTTCACTTAGGGATTTAGAAAAAATCTCTTTCTTCTTTTACATAGGAAAAATATCTGACTGTTATTGGTCTCTTTGTTCATGTGTCAGAATGTCCCAGTCCTGGGCCATGAATAGAACATACGGTGCTTCATCTGTTCTCTCTTGCTTAGCATTAGTTGAAATTTCAATTTTAGCACATGTAATCCCTCTGTTGAGAGACACTCCTCACTGGAGCCGGCAGTGCAGCCATGGAGATATTCCCTCACCCGGAACATTGGATTCTGGGCTTCTAAGGACCAGGCAGAGTGTAAATGTATGCGGCCAGTTTTCTCCTAAGGAGTCCCACTTTGGTACTTGAGCGCACCATGGCTATGTTGTCTTGTAGTCTGTAAAGGGATGGCTGTAAGTAGGCAGAAAGAAAGACAGGACAAGGGGATTTAGGGCTCTGGGTCTCAGGGGGAACATTTAGTTTGGTTACCGTACAAGTGTGTGGCGAGGCCATCAGCGTGCACAAGTTCACAGTCCGGGGGGGGGGGGGTGCATTTGCCCTGCCTGCCCTGCTGTCACTTCAACCCTCGACTGTGCTATTTGACCTTAGCACATCTGTGCCATTGCAAGTTACAGGTATTGCATATACAGGAAGTGAGGAACAACTGTTTATTGACAGAAGTGACAGAAAACTGTTACTTTGGTGTTTTCAAGCCATGCATTTCCTGCAGTCCTAATTAGTGTGATGAGAACTCACTGCCAAGAAAGTGTGGTGTTTCTTCAAGCATCCTTATAAAATTGTGCGCCTTGGGAGAGTTAGCCCTAAGAGTTCACATGCCGGTATGTTCTGGTACCAGCCGGGCAGAGGAGTTGGTGCAAATTGTTATTCGGATATCATTAAACCTAGGTCACATTCAAGTCCATTAAGAAAGAGCCTCAGGTATTTTCAATGAATGGGTTCAGATTGCTTAGACTTGAAGGAGCTAATTAAATTTTTTCCCGAAGATTTTCTATTCAAATAGACAAGCATTGTGCTTCTTCCATTTCCTCCAAAATTCTCTTGACAGTTTAGAGTTGATGAAGGTATCGCCTTTTCGCGGCAGACCTCTGATTTCCAGAGGTCAGGAAACTCTGTAGGCTCCAGACCTCTGGATCAATCCATGCAAGCCCAGTCTGCATTTCCCGATACCTTTCTTCTCAGAGGCAGATAGATCTGGATACTTTGTCCTGTGTATAGCCTGGTGGAGGTGATTTGTTTTCCCTAGAAAGGTGACCTGTCTTCATCAAAGCATGACAGGAACTGTATATCACAAAATCAGAAGCCATAATGATGGTTATCTTGGACTCTTCATTCCATTTAAAGATGATATATCTTGGGAAATTACACAAAGTGTGGTAGAAATGTATGGTAGATATTTAAATTTTTCAAGTTTATTACAATAAAAGACATATTGCTATTCCTTTTAAAATATCACTCCCCTACACACACACACACACACACACACACACACACACTTTAAACACACTTAGCCTATCATTCTTGCAGCTTTCTGAAGGAATTCTGGAAGTCTTTTGTGTCTTTATGAGGTACCTGCTGTTGAGTATCCAGTGGAAAGCCGACTCACGTGGATGTATTATAGTATCCGCATCCGCTAGTTCCACAGATCTGTCACCCTGCGTCTCTGGGCCTTCCCCAAGGTCAAAATAACCATCAGAGGTACATACTTCAAATCAGTTCAGCATATTGATGCCATCATAACAGCATAACAACAGACACTCACAAAAAAGGACTTTCAGAACTGCTTTGGAAAGGGCAGGAGTAATGGCGTGTGTTCAGGGGGAGGGGGAGTATTTTGAGGCAGATTAATGGCAATGTGTTTTTACTATAATAAATTTTCTTATGCATGCATCAGATTGTTCATTCACACCGCGTGTGGCTGCTTTTTCGTTGCTTTGCTTGTTTGGCTCCTGTCAGGCCTGGCCAGCCTGAGCCACAGTAGACTCCTCTGACCCCTCTGGCGACCTCAGTTTTCTATGTAGTAAGAATGAGATTCCACAGGAGCCTCCAAGTGGCGCAGAAGTTTCTTCTCTCGTGCTGCTTCTCCTCCCAGCCCCTGCAGCCAGGTTCTCCATCAGCGTGTGACCATGGGAGCTCTGCAGGCTGGCCAAAGCCTCTGTTCTGTCTAGCTCCCTCCCCTGTGCATGCATATACCTGGGTTACCTCAAAGTTTGTGGAAAATGAAAGGTCAGCCCTCCAAAGAACCAGTAGGCTGAGTACCCTTTTCTGTACAAAAGCAAGAAGAGTTAATGGACCAGGAAGGCTGTCCAGAGCGCCTGCATTCCAGGGGCTGTCAGCGCTGCACACTGCTGCCTCAGTTTATTTATTTTTATTTATTTTTATTTTTTAATTATTTTTATTGAGAAAGAAATAGGAATCAGACAGTTTCAAAACAAATTAGCAGGACAGTTTCAGTAATTAATACATTGCATATTATCATCTTCGTAGTGGTTATTCATAGTACAAGATGCAGACATGATATCCTGTCCAAACAGTACAAATCTTCTCATTGAATTAAGAGAAAGTAGCTGTATATCTATCCTAACTATTTTGTATATACAGATACAAAATAGTCCTTCACTTGTATCCCCTTTTTTTATTTAGTTTTGTCAGAGATGGGTATTCCTTTGCCATTTAAATATTGTAGGTGCGTGAATTCAGTGGAATAATCCAATACAGTCCAGTAGCGCATCATAGTAGTGGGTTATCCATTGGACTGGCAGTGTCAGAAGCTGTTGACTTGAGCCTTTTACAGCTCAGCATATTAATATGCTGCCTCGGTATTGATTGTCCAGCATGTGCAGTCCGTGTCTCCCAGTGTTGCCCAGGGAACCCAGTGCTCTCCAGCAGCACCATCCTCAATAATCATTAACTTAATGCAACAAAGACAGGAAGCTGCAGAGGGGCAGGGAAAGGGAATCAGCTCAGCCAGGCCAGCGTTTCCTGTACCCTGGCTTAGTGTGTTTGTTCCTCAACATGATGGCAGAAGAAAATGCTGCCCAGGGCCTGTTGGCCTTTGTCACCTGATGTGCCTGGACAATGGAGCAGTTTCACAACTTGAAGTGGGCAGGGGAACGCAGGCTTCCCCATCCTCAGCCTGGACCTGCCATCAGTGACCTTTAGGCCCCTTGCAGTGCATGGTGTTCTGCACTGAGATCAGGCAGCAAGGTGCTTCTCAGGGTGTTGTTTTCATTTGGGGCCCAGGAGTCAGTGCTGCTGTAGTACAGACATTCCCCCTTGTCCCAGCCACTCCCCACTATGTGGCTGGTCCTAGGACTACGAGAGCTAGCTTTTGCTGCCATCTATTGTCTGCCCTGGGGGATTGCGGGTTTTGCATCCTGGAGTGGGGAAGCGTTGCTTAGCTAATTGAGCTGCTCCACAGCCTCTCCTGAACCCAGGGGAAAATAAAATGGAGATGTTAGTGTTTCCCAGTGAAAACCATTAGGAAAACCTGTGTTTACTGACCCACCATCATTTTAAAGCAGTCCCAGTTGCACTGTAATCAAACTACCAAGTGACCTTTCTGTCCCTCTGCCCGGCAGCCCTGAAAGGGCCTGTTGTTCCTCTGCTTCAGTGAAGAAACCTTCTGTTTAGTTTAGCAAGCGTTTTTCCAGTCATGTCTCCTGGTGAGTCACAGAAAGATGATTGTTAGGTCTTGGGTTTTGTTGTTGTTGTTTTTCTTTTAATACCTGACCTCTCTACCCTCCTCACCACCCTCCAGTACTTGTCTCTTCAGTGAGCCAAGCTGCTTTATAAGGGCCTTCACAGTTCCTGGTGATGTGCACCCGTCTTGTGCTTCTTCTCTTTGCCCTACCCTACCCCCGGGGGCTGGGGCCTTTCCAGGATGTCTGAGGTACCCACAGAAATGGACCACAGAACGGACTTATGAGCCAGGGGCCAGCAGTCCACAGATGTGTTGATACCGAGTATGTTTTTCTATCTTACAGTTATTTGTCGGACTTGGGTTTCCTTATGAGGGTCCAGCTCCCCTGGAAGCTATTGCAAATGGATGTGCTTTTCTGAATCCCAAATTCAACCCACCGAAAAGCAGCAAAAATACTGATTTTTTCATTGGCAAGCCAACCTTAAGAGAGGTAAGTATCTATCAAAATCTGTCTACTTTCAGTAAGAGGAATAACAGGGGCTGGGGAGTAGCTCAGGGGTAGTGTGCTAGCATGCACGAGGTCCAGGCTAGGTTCCATCCCAGCCCTCCTACTCCATGTCACATGCACAGAAAGAAGAATAGCAGCTTATCGAGTCTTAATGTAAGTAAGGTTATCTGATCTGCCTGTCAGGGGTTGATAGATAAAGTCATCTGTCAGTATCCACCAGGGATGGGCTCTAGGATCCCCACAGTTCCCCACATCTGAGGGTGTTCAAGTCCCTTCTTTAAAAATGTTACGGTATTTACATGCAACATAAAATTTTTCCGTGTACTATAAATCCTCTCTGGATTTCTTATGTCTAATACACTGCAAATGCTGTATAAATAACAGTTGTATTATTTAAGGGATGATGACAAGGGAGAAAAGTCCTGTACATGTTTGAGACAGAGATGCATTTCTTCAAATTATTTTTATAGTTTCCAGACTGGTGGACGTAGAACCTGTGGGTAGAGAAAGCCAACTACATTCACTTCATTTAACATAGTTAGGTGGGAAGGGTCACAGCATCTTGTTATAAGCAGGGCCAGCATTTGACTCTCCATCTCTAGCCACAAAGCAAGGAGCTTTTCATTCCACACCCAACACTTTCAATTCAAGCACAGACATTCCAGCTTTCTGATTACAGCCAAACTCTTAAGTTGATAGAATGAAACAATCAGGTGGGGAGACTCTCTATCAGGGGCTATGGAGAATGAAAAGCAGGCTATGGGTGTTCTCAGAGAACATGATTCTCAGGAGATAAGACCCATCCTGGCGACTAAAGGAATGTGCCTGATGTTTTAGGCCAACATAAGCAGGCACCATCCTGTGAACTACTCCTGCCATTGCTGAAACCATTTGCCTTTTTTGAATTGCCTTCCAAGATCCTCTTGAACATGCACAGTGGGTGATGAATCATCATCCAGGATAGTCGGATTTGATTTGGGGCAATAAACCAAAGTCATTCACACCTAAGTGTGAATGATCAAGCTGGACGCTTCAGTATCTGGTCAGAAAGGTGTGTGCAAGAAACCATAAGATTGATTTTTATTATCTCTGTGTATCATTAAGTGGCTCAGGAGGCTGCTGACAACAGGGATGTCAAAGCTCCATCTTGGTCATCTAGGGCCTCCTGCTAGCAGTGACACTGATGGCTAGCCCCCCTATGACGTAAGAGCGTATGTTTGTGAAGAATTCCATTGTGCTGCTTCTGTTGGGTCACTTTGTCTGAACCGGCCTTCCAGCTAATACATAAAATGTGTTTTCAAGGATTAGTCTTTATTCAGTGAATCGGAAATCTCAGCTAGTCCACAGGTTGATGATTCTGGGAGTTCTGTTCTCTAAGCCCTGCTGTCATTGGTGCAGTGGCCCAAGAAGAAGATGGAGGAAGATCAACAAGATCCAGAGATTATCTCAGAAAGATCAGCGCTGGCCCAGATACCCATTGAAAGGAGTTATTGTGTGTGCTTGCGCGCTTGTTTTTTTCCTCATGCTGCTGTAATGACCTAAACTGTTCCTTGTAGGAAAAGGTTTCTTTGTGAGAGGTCAGTGCGCTCATTGATTATTCAACAATACTTAATGTCCACCTGTGTACCGGGTGCTGTGGGAGAAGCCAGTGTATAGAGTTCAGAAGCACAGCCTGACATGGAAGATCTTGTTCTTCAGAAAGATTTGAAAGATCCTACCAGTGAAAAGATCTCAGTAGAGGAGATAAACGTGTCAGTGACTTCTTTGAAGTCAACTTAGGAGTTTTGGGTGGAAAGTAGATTTCAGTCCTCACTAGATTTTTGTTTGGTTTCTTTGTAGTACACACTAAAAACTACGTTAAAGGTGTACAACTTGAAGCACGATACACACTGTGAAATGATCGCCGCAATCGGCATTGCCAACATTTCTAGCACTTTCTTGGGTCTATGTTGTGGAGTGGGTGGTAAAACCTTAAGATCTACGTTCTGGGCAAATTTCACATGTACAGTATGGCATGGCTAGCTATAGTCACCATGTTTTTTTGTTTTGTTTTGTTTTTTTGCTCCGAATGCCTTCAGGGCAGGTTTGACTGACTGGAGTTGTGGGGATCGAACCACAGCAACCTAAGCCTGACTGCTTTGTTGAAGAAGCCACTTAAAGAACTGAGCTAAGGGGCAGGCCCCCAATAGTCACCATGTTAAGCAGTAGATTTCTAGAACTTACTCAGCTTGTATAACTGAGGCTTTGTTCTTTTTGATCAACAAATCCTCATTCACATGCCTCAACCCCTGGTAATCACCACTGTACTCTGCTTAGATTAGTTCAGCTTAGATTCCACATGTAAGTGAGATCCTGCAGCATGCATCTTTCTCTGTCTGACTTTTCATTCATCTGCTGATAGACTCTTGAGTGGACTCCCCCTCTTGGTTATTCTGAATGGTAGAACAACAAAGGTGGGAGGCAGATACCTTTTCAGTGTACTGATTCCATGTCTTTGTGGCATGAAGTGTGATACAGTCTTATTTGCCTGTTTTTACATCTGTTGCCTGTACTTTCAGGATCTTATCTAAAATACTAAGACCCAACCTGGTGTCCAGCAGCCTTTAAAAGAAAATGCAAAGTAATGATAGAATAAAAAACAGCATTAGAAAATATACAGAATTTCACTAAACTAATAGCAGTTCAACAATGGTTGCTGTATTACAGGATGCTGTCTTCAAATTAGTTGCTCAGGCTACCAGATATAAACGTGAAAGATTCATTTAAAGGAAAAAATAACAAAAAAGTTATAAAAAATTCAAAAGAAAAACAAAGAATAAAAAGAAAAAAAATTAAACATTAACTGTTCTTTCAACAGACCAGCAGAAATAACAGAACAGTTATACAACCTAGTCTGCATATATGCCTAAATATATCTTTTCATTTTTTTCATTTGTCCTTTTTTCCTCATCCCAATTTTTCCTTCACATTGAACAAATTCTTTCTCTTTCAAATTATCCATTATACCTTTTAGATTTTAATTACTCATTCAGGTTCTCACACTAGCAAGACAATACAGTATTTACACATGTGGATCTGATTTATTTCACTTACCAATATAGTCTGTAGCTGTATCCATTTATCCACAAGAACCATCAAATTTATCTTTTTTATAGCTGAATAATACTCCACTGTGTAAAAATACCATCTGTTTTATGCATTCCTCAGTTGATGGGCGTTTGGGTTGTTTCCAAGATTTAGCTATGATGAATTGCATTGTTATAAACCTAGGAGCACATATATTGCTATGGTATGATAATTTCAGTTTTTTTTTTATGTATTTTAGAACAGGGTCTGTAGGGTCTCACTACATCGATCAGACTCATAGCCATCCTCCTGTTTTCAGCCTCCCATGCACTGGAATCAAGGCACATGCCACCACACCTAGTCTCAGTTGCCACCTCGGCCTGCCTTCTGGGCAGCATCAGGGATTCAAACTACGATTGCTGCCTGCCTAAGCAGGTGCTTTGGTCCACTGAGAGTGTACTTCTTTCGGAAAAATACCTAGGAGGGGAATAGCTGACTTGAGTGGGACCTCCAATTCTAGTGTTTTGAGAAATCTCCATACTGATTTTCATAGTGGTTGTACTAGCCTGTACTCCCACCAACAGTGGAGACGGGTTCCAATTTTCCCCACAGCCTATCCAATGTTTGTTATTAGTTGACTTCTTGATGATAGCCATTCTTTCTGGCTTAAGATGGTATCTCAGCATTGTTTTAATTTGCATCTCTTGAATGACCAATGATGTTGAACAGTTTTTCATATATTTATTTGCCGTTTGTGTCTCATCATTTGTGAAGTGTATATTCATCTCAGATGCCCATTTATGGATTTGGTCTTTGAATTTTGGCATCCTGATTTTCTTTAATTCTTTATATGTTCTAGATAGGAGTCCTTTTTCTGACCAACAGTCTGCTATAATTGTGTCCTACTTCTTGAGTTTTCTTTTTACTCTGTTAGTGATTTTTTTTTTTTAATTTTTATTTTGGAAAAGGCCTGCAGGGTGTTCAGGGTCTCACTACTACTTCAGACTCATAGTGATCCACCTATTTACAGCCTCCCAAGAGCAGGGATTACAGGCACGTGCTACCACGCCCAGTCTCAATCGCTGCCTCAGCAGGTCCCAGGGTGGGGCTGGAGCCAGCATAGCAGGCCCAGGGATGGAAGCCCGAGCCTGTGTGCCAACTTACACGTGCTTTAATCCACTGAGCTATTTGGCCCTGGTGAATTCTTTTGACGTGTAGAAACTTTGAAAAGATGAGATCTCAATTTTTGATTCTTTGAGGTATTTCCCCTGCAGTTTGCTTTTGTTCTTGAACTCTTTACCAGCCCCATTGTTTCTGCCTACTTCCTCCTCCAGAAGATTTAGCGTTTCAGTTTTGATATTTAAATCTTTGATCCTCTTGGACTATAGGTGATTTTTTATTTTGTTTTGTTTTGTTTCGTTTTGGTTTTTGGAACCGGGTATTGGACTCAGGCCCTTTTAACTGTAGTTTTGTGCATGATGATAGGCATGGGTCTATTTCAAGCCTTCTGCATGTGGAAAGTCAGTATTTCTAGCAACATAGAAAGAGGCCATCTTTCTTTCCATGAATATGTGTGGCCCCTTTTTCAAAGATAAGGTGGCTGAGTGTGCTTGTAGTTTTGTCTACATCTTTTAATCTGTTTCATTGATCCTCAGGTCTGTTTTTTTGTTTGTTTGTTTGTTTGTTTGTTTGTTTGTTTGTTTGTTTGTTTTTGCCAGTACTATGCTGATTTTATCACTGTAGCTCTGTAGTATACTTTCAAGTCAGGGATCTTGATGCCTCTTGCCTTTCTGTTGTTGCCCAGGAATGCTTTTTTGCTATTGTAGGTCTCTTCTGGTTCCAGATGAATTTTAGGAATGTTTTTTCTAAATCTGTGAGGTATACTGATGGTGTTTTAATTAGAATTGCATTGAATC